TTGTCTCTRAGCAAGTGGGAGTGAATTAAGGGAAAATCAATCTTTTTTAAGAAGTAAATTAARGTTTTGAATGAACGAATTAAGGGATTTSTGTTGAAAATAAGTATAGGGCCCACATAATTAAAGGATTATGATAATAATTTATGGAATTAAATCTTTTATATTTCGAAAAAACAAATAACTATAATAAATGTAAATACAATAAATAAGRGTAAAATCGAAATTAAAATAAAATCCTACATGAAATCTAAAAGTGTAAAATTAAAAAAATTTAGACATATATAAATAAGTTTCTAAAACACACATTCGAAAACATTATCTCTTTAAACAATTAGCCTATAAACATAGGTTGAATCTATTAGTTTAAAAAAAGCGAAGGATTCAAGCTATGCTAAYGTCGGCCATGCAATTACAAATGAAATTATGTGGATAATTTTTATTGAAGTTAATTAATGGAAAATTTGAGCGCTGAGGGTATGTTTTTTTTTAGATTTTGTTAACTATTAGAATATGATTTGTAATTATTGTAATTAATATGATTCCATTAATGGATTAATATTTTTGTTACATGTAAAGTTGAAATTAAATTGGGCTCCTGAAATGCTATATATACTACTTTTTTACTTTGTGAGAAAGGCAAAGGGGGGCTTTAAAAGGGGAAAAGGAAAAGGAAATGCCAAAACACCAAATGATTTGAATTTGTAATTAAAGTGAAAAATGACAAATTAACCCAACCAACCAGACATAAAAGAAGAGGCTTTACAAATAACAACCGTCCATCTCTTCATAAAGGAATTTCATTTCATTTCCTCACTATTTTTGTTTGTTCAAACCAATTTTTCATTTTTCATTCACAAAATGAAGCTTTCAAACTTTCAACTTTTTCTCTTCCCTCATTCCCAAAGCTCGACTTAACTTCGCTTAACCAATTAATATGATAATTCATACCCTTTATCAAATTATCCATTAATTATATCATTCAAGGGTTAGAGGGTAGAAGTGACTTATTTAAATATAAAATTAACCAAATGGTCATTCGTTATATCAGTCACTAATTTGATAGGATGGAAATGAGTCAGGTTCACAGTGATATATAGCTTAACAAATTGAATTCAAACAAGCTAAATAAAAATATACTTTTATCATCTTTAAATCCATGGTTATTGAGGTCATACAGTTGTTTTTTTTTTTCAATAAAAATGGGGAAATAGAATTAAGGAATGGAAACATGTGACCAAAAGACCCTTATAAACTAAAATCGATTCTAATTTTATATAATTGCAAAAAAAAAATCATATTTTTATAATACGATGAAAGAAAATGCTAATATTACGTTGGCTTACTCACAAAAGTTCTCTCCAAAATAATTAAATTCCAATGCCATGCACCAAAAAATCCAATAAAAAACCTGTCCTTTTGTGCATGATAAAGTGCATTTGCTTGGCTTTTTTTTTTCCTTTTCTTTTTGGGCATTTTAATATGGTATTATATTATTTCCTTTATAATATTTAGAAAATTCACGAGCATATATAGAAAGAGTCTGATTACAACGTGATATGATGTGATAACCTTTCACAATTAATGCATATTGGTTAATTAATGTTTGTATTTTACCTTAATTACGGTGACATAAAAGATATATATATATATATATGGAGTAAAAAGAGAGAGCTATGGTATTGACTCCAAAGTTTTAAATGTCGATGTCGATGGAAATGTTGAGATCTCAATTTCATGAAAATATCGATAAAATGTTGATATCGATGTATATTTTTGTAAAAGTTAGAAAAATTTAAAAATCGTAAAAATATTTAAATTAACAAATAAACATTTTTCTATTTTTAAATAATTTAACGATTAATATTAATATTGTGTATATATTAGTGGCATTTTGATGATATTTTCATATTTTGTATCTTTTTTTTTTTTGTAATATGATGGAAAGGTTGATTTATTCGATTGTGGAACTTATGAATACATGAAAATGTCGATAAACATGTCTAACATATATAATTAATTCTTTAAATAACAACTAAATAAATAGTTGAAAATGAAACTATATAGTCCAATATACAAAACTTACCATGAAAGCTAGCCATAAAATTGGAGTAAAAAAGAGAATTGGAATGGAGAGTCAAAAGGGGCAGCAAATTTATAATAAAACCAAGCACTTGTACATCTAATGCCATTGAAAAGTGGGTAACTTTATAAATAGAGCAATAATTGAGGCTATTTTATTTTGGTTCTACTAACCAAAAAAACTGTTTTGATTGGGCGGACCCCATTTTCTTGCCCTCATGATCTCCCAATCACTACTTTTTCATTACTTTTTTTTTTGAGGGAAAAAAAATTAGAAAGGAGAAAAGTGAGTTGGAAAAAAAAAGGGAGAAACTAAGAGGAGTTGTATTCTATATGATTTATGTTTCCATGTAGCAAGGCTTTGCAATCTGCAAAAGCAAAGCTTCTTTCATTTGAGTAATGTGTTTGACAACTGGTTTACCTATCATCTCCTCTCTCGTAAATATATGACAGTCGTTCGGGTCGGTCAATAAAAGCGTTAGTGAAACAAAGTTATGTTAGAGATGACTTTCATGTCTCATTATTTGCCCTTTAAATCATTCATGGTCTCCTCTAATCTTTTTTTGTTTGAAAATATCGAAAATTGGGTTAATGATTTCTCATACAAATATTTTTCACACCTGATATGTAAAGTATAAAGTAAAAATCTTAATTATACCAATAATTTTATTCTATGTGAGATATGTTCTTCCTCAAAAAAAAAAAAAAAAAAATCTCTTCCACAAACTCTTTCAACTACCTGAGTCACAAACATAAGATCTAGTTTATACTTTAAAGTCAATACAAGATATGAATTTCACATTAAAAAATTAGTTGATATGTGTAAAATAATCATATTTGTGAATAAATATAAAAACGTCTTACAGTTGAAAGAGTAAAAGAGCACTTAAAAAACGAAAGTTTTGGTATAGGAGTAATAAGTATTTTATTCTCTAACCTTTTACAAAAAAAAAAAAAGGTATTTTATTCTCTAAACTATGCTGGAATTAAGGAGGATGTAATGTATTTCAATAATCAATGTATTTTACAAAAAAAACTAGACAACAAATTATGTAATATATCAATGGGAGGATGAAGAGGATTAACGAGGGCCAGAAAGGCCCATCATTTTAGCCGATGTAAGTATCTGATTGGGTCACTAGGCGCATTGGAGTTGTTATTGGGCCTAAGGCCCAATAAAGTTCGATTCAGCAGTAGGATTTTTTTTTCTTTTTAACACTAGGATTGTATTTGAAAAATATAATTATTTTCCTTTATTTTTTTTTTCTTTTTCTCAATTCTCAGTTCATATCTGAAAACAAAATTTCCGTTTATATGTATATTTATTTTATTATTCTATAAATAATTCAGGTAAATTTTTATAGTCAACTTTTTTGATAAAGGAGTTTTTTCCTTTAATATATAAAATACAAAATGGAGAGAAGTCCCAAAAAAAAAAACTCGTCTTTATGAAAATAAAGAAATAAAAATAAAACAAAATACATTTTTGGACCTTCACGTTTGAAATTGATTTCTATATAATCTTATAAAACCATCAATTTGGCTCTTGAGATTTAAATTTATCTTTTATTGGTCTTTAAATTCAAAAAATGACATATTTGGTCATTGAAGTTGGAATTTAGTTTTAATTTGTTGGTGGTCAAAATTAGAATTGACAYGTGTACACATCTACTCAGTTCGAACTCTCCAAAAAGTGCAAAATGGACTTTTCGTACCCGTCGATCTGATCCATGTCGAGCTGAGATGATGAAACCATATCCACCGACTTAAAGAATCTGACCTTAGGCCCGACCACCAACCTGAGGACCCGATAACCGTAACAGCCTATCGGAATGGTCCAACGGTCTTGTCTCCCCCCACCTGCCTAGAAAAGGGATACTCAACCCCACAATTCAGGTACACAATTCCTCCGACTTGGTTTAACTCAAGCTCACGCTAACTTCGGCATCAAAATATTTGTTCCTTGTGCAGGTTTCATCGAGATCGCACCTTGGAGCTCRTCCTCGTTAGTTCGTGAACCAACCTGTGAGCTCGACGGAAAATAGCATCAACATAATTGGTCGATTTCTAAAGAGTTCCCAAGTTGAGTTGACCAAACAGAATGATGATGTGGAAATTAATAAATAGGGATGGCAAAAATACGGGACCCGACTCGATCGGGTCGGAGAATCCTCAAGTCTCCTTGTCTCGACCCCAAGTCATCAAGTTTTATTGCTTTTATATTTTTATGTATAATAATAATAATAATATATAAATTCTTATAAATACTTTTTAATTTATTTTAAAAAGAAGCCCAAACCCAAATAGAATAACCAATTTATCAAATTTTATTTCTTTCTTATACTTGTAAACCTAATAAAATAGACCTAAAATATTAATAATTCCTTCTCAAAAAACAAAACTAGAAAAGTTAAAAGAAATATATATATATTTTCGGGATAGGTTCCCCTTAGGGACTCCATCCCTAATTGAGGAATCCCCGCCCCGTCCCCATTGCCATCAACATATATCGATTATACTTTGTTACTTAGCAAAAGATAATGAAGAACTAACGTGTTAATTTTTTTAGTACAACATATGGGAGGAGATCGAACTCACGGAATATAAGTCAATTATTGTTGAACTATACTCGTTTTGGTATTAACATATCAATTAATGATTTTAACATTTAGATATCGAAAATGTCACTTTTGAAACTTTAAGAATCGAGTTCAATATAAAAYTTAAATTAGAAGGATAAAAATGATTATTTTTTAAACTTATGGACGAAATAAAATCCAACCATAGAAACAAAAAAAATGGTATATTACCCTTAAAAGTTAATAAATACGAAGATTTAAATTCAATAAGAAAATAGTAGGAGGGAGAGAGGGAAAATGGCCAACCAGAAATACAACTGTTCCATGTCAGACTTGTCAACCAATAGTAAGATGAAACGTGGCAAAATGGAAATGGCTCATCTACGAACCTCGATACCTTCCCGCAGCCGATCTTCTCTGAACCAATTCCCGATCTTAATTTCTTGGCCGCGCCTGCAATTTTGACCCGCCGCATCCTGGCGCCGACGGCCCAATCGGCGGAAAAGAAAGAACAGTCCAGATTTCTCGCCACCAATTTCCCCCTTCCCTCCTTCGTTTCGCGTTCTCCGGCGGCAAGAATGCCGTCGTCTCAGATCCTACCGATTACCCAACCCCCTTTGTCATCTCCATATTCCTCCGGAGGCTCCGCTGCGAATTCGATTATGGCAACCACATCTACTGCCATAGACATAATGTTGCTCAAAGAAGATGATGAACAGAGAACTGGAGTTCTTGTTTCTCCGTCGTTCGAGGATGATAAGACGCTGCCTTATAAGCCCCTTCTTCCCAGGACTTCAAGCTATGCCTCCACATCAACCAGTACATCCACCGCAAGCAATATGTACAAGCAGAAGCGGAGGCGAATCAGGAGCGAAAACTTTTTGTCCTTTCTCTCCTGCGACGTCCGCCACCAGACAGTTGAACGTGATGTCGAGGATGCCGGCGTTGAGAGAGCCGAGAGATTTATACTCACCCGCTTCGGTTTCAAACTCTCGAAATATATTGGGTAAAATTACCTAATTGGATCATCTGCTTTCTTTTTACTAGCTGTGATAGTATTAAGAGATAAATTTCTTTTGATTGATAATTACGTTTATCATTGCGTAGATAAATCAAGATTCATGTATATAATTTATAGATCGAAATCCATTATGTATCTGCTAATAGAGATTTTTAAGTTATATATCATCACAATTTCTTTTTGGATGGCTTATCATGTTTGAGATTTTACAACTCATCCTATCATTCAGGGTAGCCTTCAGATGGATTGCAAGATTTATCGCACTTGGCTGTTATTCATTGTTTCTTCTCCCAGGTTTTCTTCAGGGTATGTGAACCAAGATTCTTATTTGCAAGCACAGTAGATTTCAATATTCATTTCTTTGCTGGTCATTGTGAATATTTGTCACTTGCAGTTGGATACTATTATTTCTCATCCAGTCAGATACGCAGAAGTATACCCTATGGTGATAAACCAAGGAATAAGTGAGGAACTAATAAATGATAAATATATTTCTCTTATGTGAATTTAAGATGAAAGTGCATTTCTTAATTACGCTTTCATATGCTGTGGCATGAAATTTACTGGTGCAGGTTGGATCTTTATCTACCAAAACATATTGACGGGCCAAAACCAGTTGTTGCATTTATCACTGGTGGGGCTTGGATTATTGGGTAAGTGGTGATATCATTCTACTGTTCTAAAATTCATGTTCTTCCAGTGGATGGGGTTATAAAAGTATTTCTCAATTTGAGAATATATTTGAAAAGAGTTATAGTCAAACAACTAAGACAAATGTCCTCGTCATTTCGATTTGATTTAGGGGTTAATTTCATGAAATATTTGGGATTTACGGCTTGGCATGTTTGAGAAATTTATTCTGTCGATGCAGTTATAAGGCTTGGGGTTGTCTCCTAGGACAACAGTTATCAGAAAGAGATGTCATCGTAGCATGCATTGATTACAGGTAATTTGGTCTCAATAATGATGTAATCACCATTGCCAAACGTCAATCTCGCCATTTGGCCAAATGAAATCCTCTTTTGTGTAGTTAATGATAGATTGCACACATTTTTGATGTAGAAATTTTCCTCAGGGAACTATGAGTGATATGATTAACGATGCTTCCCAAGGTATCTCGTTCTTGTGTAATAACATCAGAGAATTTGGAGGCGATCCAAACAGGTAACGTTTTACTCTCTCCACATCTTTCTTCTGTAGTTAAGATCTTCAAAGATGAACTTCCCAGATTCCTTCCATTTTAAATGATCAAGGGAAAATTCTGATTAGGTTGAGCCATAAGTACTTGATCTTTTTGTTTAAAGGGTGGTTACTCATGAGAGAGTGGAGAGATGGCTTTATCTCTCAGTACAAAGGGGTGTTCCGCCCGAAAGAAGAAAAGAGGAAATTCGAGAAGAAGGCGTTGTAACAGTGAAAGAAACTTTGGGTTTGGAGTGTCTTTCAATATTAATACACAATGGCATATTGCTATAAATTCTACTTCAAATTTCAAATTCAGATGCCTATCACTATTTAGTTGTTTGGTTCATTTACTGACCATGAAATCCGTTCTTTTTTGTTTTCTTAAAGAATCTATCTAATGGGTCAGTCAGCTGGGGCACATATAGCTGCTTGCACACTTTTGGGGCAAGCAATGAAAGAGGTTCGCAGAGTAGAAAGTATCTCATGGAGTGTTTCTCAGATTAAAGCTTTCTTTGGTTTGTCAGGAGGGTGAGTATTTCTACAGCTATGGATCCAAGAGTTTGGTCATAAAAAGGGTATTCTATGGGCCTATAGCATTCTCTTCTATAAAAATCAGTTATAATTTTCTGCTCTACGTGTAAACAGGTATAATTTGCTTAATTTGGTAGATTACTTCCACTCTCGAGGTCTATCACGTTCTCTTTTTCTGAGGTATTAGAATTTGTTGTAGTAAATTATAACCATACATCCTTAATTTTGATTCTTGTATAACGTAATCAAACACTTCATTACAGCATAATGGAAGGAGAACAGTCCTTGAAACGATTTTCACCCGAAGTAATGATCTCAGAAGAACCCAACATCGGAGCTGCAGTGTCGATTCTTCCTCCCGTCGTTTTATTTCATGGAACTGCAGACTATTCTATACCATCAAACGCTAGGTACATCATCATGTAGATCTACAAGATCATATGTAACACGAAGTTCCAAATGATACCTTGAACTATATTTTCTCTGTAAAGCATTTCTTGCGTTTCAAGTAGTTCTGTTTATTGCCGTGCAGTAAAACTTTTGCTGAGACACTTAAAAGCGTTGGAGTAAAAGCTGAGACATTTTTCTACGAAGGAAAGACACATACAGATGTATTTGTTCAGGTAAAAGAACATCTCAAGATTCTTTTGCAACTTTGCTTCCTTTTTGACATGCTATGTAAACCTATTACTGCATTCCGTTACCTGAACTATAATGGTTTTATCAGTTTCCCTTTTTGCTATAACCTTGATTGATCTTTATGCAGGATCCAATGAGGGGGGGCAAGGATCAGATGTTTGAAGATCTTGTCTCAATCATCCATGCCAATGATGCAGAAGCCCTGGCAAAGGATGCAGTGTTGCCTCCGAGAAGACGCCTTGTACCCGAATTTATGTTGACGTTAGCTCGTAGAGTTAGCCCCTTCTGACCAATATGGTTATCATCAAATGCTTGTGACCAACATCACCATGTTAATTGTAGTGTAGTCTCCCTCTGATCGTAGCTGTAGTTTATCCGTTGTAGGTTACAATGAGGGAAATGAACTTCGCACTCTGATCTGGTAAGATCTGTTACCGAACTATACATTGAGATTCTTTTTATAGTGTTAACAAAAATAGTCTTAATCAACCAGAAGTTCCTCTCTCTCTCTCTGAATTCATTTTTGAACCAAATTTGCATGATACAAGCAAAAGAAACTGAATTTATTTCTTAATTTGATTATTGTTCCAAATGGAAGTATGGAAATTATCATGGCGGAATAGAACATGGGCCACTATAAAAGTTCGTGGTAGTAATTGTTAGAGCAAAGCAAGTTGAGGCTACCCCACCCTTATCCTTAGAGCAACATAAGCAATGACCCTAAAGCCAACCAACATTAGTATCAAAACAGCCACGTTCAACCACTTCCTATCAACACCCACAAGCCTTACAGTAGGAAAATCCATAACTTTACAGTGCAGCCCATCCCCGCAGTCGTAAGTCTCATTTTCTGTGTACTGAACTCCCAGAAGAAGCTTAAAAGTATGGTAGTTGTAGGAAATATATCTCAACCAAGCTATGAAACCTGGGATATTACCAATGTAGTATCCTGCCATCATTAAAAATGCCACCGTTACCACAGAAGCAAGGCTCGTAGCCTGTTTCGTATCCATCAGAACGGCCCCAAGTGCGAGGCCTAGCCCTTGAGTGGCGAGAACGTTGAGAAGAACGATGAAGAGGGTTAGTATAAATGTGGGCGCTGAAGATTTCAGGCCACTCATCCAGTAGGGTACAGTGACGAATATGGCCGGTAGCAGCAGCTCCATTGGCATGTCGCTGACTGTTCGAGCCATGAAGTAGGAAGAGAGATGGTACATGCCGGAGGAACGCTCTTTCTTGAGAATCGGTTTCTCATTTGGGAATGAGAATACGGCGGCGTATAAAGGGAAAAGGCTTGAGAAGACAGACAAGAAGAAGACGAGTGCAACCTGCCCAGAAAGAGCTTTTAGTGAGTTGACATCCACAACTTTTGAACTGGGAAAGGCAGTTTCAGAATGTGGGTTTGGGTTCGACAGATGATTACCTGATCTTGAATGTTTGAGATGTTTGATCGCCACCATAGCATACCTGAAAGGACTGAGATTGACGTGGTCTGGAAAATCTTTAAACCAGAGTAGGATTCATGCTTCCTCTCCTGTAGTCCTCTTCTTAGTAACAACACAAATTGCTCCCACCAACTACAGCTCCATTGATCTTCGCTGCCTGCACCTGATTTAACAGCAAAGTGATTGAAACAAGCCAAAAAGAAGAGAACAAAGAAAGAGCAAGTAGTTGTAAGATGATTAGATTACTACTGACTCATGAATGAAGGTGAATGTGATTGGGGTTCTGTCTGAATCTCAGCCTTCAATGAAGGGTATAAATTGGTTCTGTAAGACGATACGAGAGACTGCTTGATTGCTGTTTGATGATCCTCAGGCAACTCGTGTTGGTAATCATCTTGTTTTGCCTCAGGTGCAATGCCTGCAGCAAATGCAGAAATCAACAAAGCAAATTTATAGGCTTCATTGAAGGCAGAGATTCCGTAAATAATAGGGACTGTGTAATTCCGTACCATTAGCAAGATCAAGTAGAGAATCAGCAGGATTCACAAAGTTGATCCCGGGAGGAGCAAGAGCATATCCAATGGACCCGAAGTACTCCATGACCCGACCCGCATCCCCACTGTAAATCGGCCAGCCCTCCGATATCACCACCACTTTATCAAACATCGCGAACAATCGGCTCGACGGCTGATGGATCGTCGTCACCACCGTCCGACCACCTCCGGCCAGCCGCCGCAGCGTCGCCGCGATGCGCTCCGCCGTGGTCGAGTCAAGCCCCGAAGTCGGCTCGTCAAGCAGCAGAATACTCGGCTTCATTATCATCTCGTGACCAATACTGACGCGCTTCCGTTCCCCACCGGAGATTCCCCGCATCAGAGGACCGCCGATGGAGACATTCCGGCATCTCGACAAACCAAGCTCGTTCACGATCATCTCGACTTGTTCGATTTTCTCTCGAGTCGTCAGCGATTTGGGAAGCCGTAATCTGGCTGCGTAAGTTAGGGTTTCGAGAACGGTCAAGTGAGGGTAAAACAAGTCGTCTTGGGGGACGAATCCAATTTTGCGTTTGATGAAGGTGGAGAAGGGGACTCCATTGTAGGTTATGGAACCGGAGACATTTCCCGGCAAACGGCCGGCGAGGGCGGTGAGGAGAGTGGTCTTGCCGCTGCCTGAAGGGCCAAGCATCGCCAGAAGCTCGCCGGGCCGGACGATTCCGGTCGCGCCATTGAGTATGGTGCGCGTTGTCGCCGCCGCGCCTTTTGAACCGAAGCCAGTGGTTTTGATTCGAGTCAAATTCACACTGTATACCACGTCTTCGAACTGAACAGCCAAAGGTAAATCATATGTTATTTAACTATGGTTAAATTAGAAATTTAGTCCCGAAAATTTTCAATTTTTAATGTTACTTTTTATTCAGACTTCATCCAGATTTGTTTTTTTTTTTTTTTTTACAATAAATTGAAGGGACGAGATTTGAACATGCAACCTCAGAAGRATTACTAAGTAAGTCAATTATTACTGAGTACATGTTGATCTCAATCTAGAATAAGATTAACTGGTAGATTAATTTCTAATATATTGAAGTATTTAGAAACATAATTAGCACAATGATACGTTACAAGAAAAATAATAAAGTTTAGGGTCTAATAGAAATTTTTTAATTCACAATTTAGATGGAAAGACGAGTTGTTTGAAACTTTTAAAAATATAGAAGTTAAAATAGACATATCCTAAAAGATTAGSWTATCACATTTAACAATATAACAAGAATCAATGGTCGGAAAAAGTTATTGTAGTAAAAAAAATTTATTAGGTTTCGTTTTGCATTAATTTTAAGAATCAATTCTAGATAATTTATAAAAAGTTAAATTACAAATCTAACTTTGATTTTATTTATTTAATTAATAAGCTTTGTTCTTAAGAACTTGAATTGTTATTTTAGAACACCTAATACATCAAGTTTCAAACTTATTTAAACCTAGCTCGACCATGTACCCATGGGTTAAGATTGTTAAAATTTTTGGATTATCAAATATTTTGGACATCCATAACTAAAATAATACATAGTAACTTACAATAAAACTAACTTTATGTTTAAAATAAATTATTAAAAAAAATTAAAAAAGACACCTTGAGCGTGATGGGGTGCGGCAAAATGGGATTGTGGGGCGTACAACTTGAAGAATGAGAAACGTCTCTGCCATTACATCCATTTGCCATTGTTATCTTCTTCTTGCTTCCAAGAACTCATCAATAATCACACACAAGAAAAAAGTGATGAAGAAAAATTGAAGCGTCATCATAATTTATAGCATTTCATCATTTCATCATTTGTTTATATTTAATCATGTTGTTTGTACGTCATTAATGATCTTTAATCTCTCCAAAGTCTTATCATTCATGGTATATATGAATAGTCGTAAGAATATATGGACCATGCATATTATACGGAGAAAATATTCATAATTAATGCTCAATTAAGAGTTTGATTATGAATCTATGCTTAAATTTTAGTTAAATGATTCACTAAGTTGACTAGGATTTGGAAGTAGGTATGGTGTAATTTTTTTTTTCAACTTTAAGCTGTTACATTAATTCGTTAGAAGATGATAATTTGGATAATTATGGTGGTGTAAAGTAGTAGGTGAAGCTTAAATCCATAAAAATAATAGAAAGTGATAGTCGAGCTATTTCGTCATTCGGCCAACCAATCTAGGTACGAGCCAACCTATTAAAGATATCCACGGGCGCGCAAGCAACATAATCATTTCTTGACAACACACCGTATTTTGCGAGCGATCAGATGACTATTATGACGCTATTGAAAGTCTTGTTGGAGATCATTTCTATACATAAGGATGCCTACCATCTAAACAAAGTATGCGAATCTACTCTCACTATGAACATTAGATCAGATTGTGACTGACTTGTTCGTCAGAGTGCTAACCTTATTTTACAAATTCTTCGAGAGTGCTTCAGAAGTCAGTTGACGTGTTTTGATCTTAGTAGAATCCGAACTTAATCAATTTTCAGATCAAACATCAAATAGATTATTTATCTCATAACGAGAAAGCTCAATTTTCAAAATGTGTAAAAATGTACTATATTTGTTTTTCATTAATGTTAGTTATCATCAAATCAAAATATTTACTTATGCCTATTTATAGTTTTCCTAAAAAAACACAAAAAACAAAAAACAACCTACGATTTGGCAATATTATAATCTACTCTCCTTACACCCCTAGCACCTAGGGTAAGCATTGGTCGGGTAGGGTCAGTTTTTTGTCAAAATCCCCGGCGAACCAACCAGGTTGGTTTCTGCTCGTAGAAAATCGACAAACCGACGCACATTTATGTGGTCGATCGACCGAACGGTCGGTTCAGTCGGTTTATCAGTTTTATTATTTTTTTTCCATTTTTTATGGTCAAGGTGACGCTGAGAAGACGAAGATGAAGGGGGGAGGGCGGTCGGTTTTTGAGATTCTGTAGCTTCCGACCGACTGATCTGTCGGTTCTGAAATTTCAGAACCGACCGCTGACCAACAATAGATGAAAACCGACCGACCGACGTCGGTTTGGTTGGTTTCAGTCGGTCGACTCGATTTTTCGGTCACGCTTGCTCACCCCTACTAGCACATATGACTACGAGAAGCCTAAAATCCTTAAATAGAGAGCTTTTATTATCCTAGGACCAATTTACTTTGAGAGAATTGGGGATAGATGTATAAGAATCAAAATTTTCACTCTTTCGATCATTTACTAAATTATAGGGATGTAATTAATTAGTAGGATTAATCACTTCTAAAAATGTGTAATCTAATTCCTTTCTTACACCATCGTCAATTTCATTTTTATTCTTTATTCTATGGTCTTCCAACTTAATAATAATTATTTCACGATTTTACCATTTCTCTATCATCTATTAATGAGACTCATAATTTTTTAATTAATTATTTCTATTTTATTTATACTACTAATAATTTTTCTTCCAATAAAAATTTATACTAACTTTATGTGATTTTATTATAAAATATTACAAATTTCTATTTAATTTTTTAATTTCACTTCTTATTATTAACTTATCAATAAATTTTTTAAAATATAACCAATGATCATTAAACACTGGAAGAATAAAAATTAATAAAATTTTATATTAAGGGGTTGCTCTAATAAAAGTTATTTTAGTTTATACAATTTTATTTTAATTATCTATTATTGGTTAATATTAAATAAATTGTTATAATAAAAAAATATTTATATCAATAAAATAGTAATAAAAAAGGTATAAGCACAATAATGTATTTAAGGTATAACTAAGAAGGGAATATACTAATAATTATTATATATCTCATTCTTATTCTTATTCGAGACAGTTTTAGTAAACAATAAACAACATTAAAGGAATAACATTATTCTCAACACGATTGATTTCCTCTCAATTGATTTTCATTTCGATTTCTTCTTATTTCGATTGGTTGGTTGTGAGTAAACTAAGCTTTAATGATGATTGTAATTATACAGTTGACTATTAGGATTACGTTGGCTTTACTCTCCTTCAACCCCTTTTAACGAGGTGTGCATAGTTAATTATCTAACATTTATATTGACAATGAAGGGACGATTAGCTAATTGAAGTTTAATGAATGAGCACATTTAAATGGAGAAGTAATCTTGTTTGAAAATAGGAGGTAGCTTGTTCGAGATTAGATATAGCTACGAATTTCGTATCAACATATATAGATAGATTAAACTTTTTTCAGAGGTAGTTTAGATATACGTCTCGTTTCATTGATTCTAGGTTTTGGGCTAAAAAATTGGCTCCATTGAGAAAAGTTGAAAATTTTATTCTTCTTTCTTCTACTGCGTTTCTCTTTGAATCAATTCTTGTAGTGTCAAGGAGAATGGTTTGTTTTGCTTCATCATCCTCTATTTGATCAATTAGATCAAGTTTTGTTTTTTGATATCTTCTGATAAAACATTGATGCATTAATTCCATATAATTAAGGTCGTGCACCTTCTTTCTCTTCTTTGGAACTTTCTAAGTCGGATCGACATACACCAACTTCTTAATTTCCATCTCTTTGTCCATTTCGATTCTACTTTTTATTGGAAAACAAACTAATAAAACACACTATAAATACTTAAAAAGAAAAGTCAAAGAGTAAAATGTTTGTAAATTATTTTTTTTACTTAAGTACAAGTGTCATAAATTTAAAATTTAACAAAGGTTTTGTTTGGGAAAAAGAATATCCTGGACACGTGGAGGACCCCTATTGGTGCTCCAAGATGACTCATGAGTCATGCCCAGCTCGGACCGCCGAGATCACCACCACTAGCGTTGACAGATGCTAA